GAAATAGACAAGGTGATCTTAAGATTCCTATGAAATTGCAAGAGATACAGAATAGCAGAAGCAATTTTGAAAAGGAAAAACAAAAACAAAAGGAGGATTCACATTTCCTGATTTCAAATTTACAATAATAACTTTATTTTGAAAACTTACAGTAATTAAGAAAGTGTGGTAGTGGCATAAAGCAGACAGAGATGAATGGAGTCAACTTGAGAGTCCAGAAATAAATCCTTACATTTATAGGTCATTGATTTTCAGCAAGGATATCAACACCATTCAATGGGGGAAAAGAATATCTTTTCAACAAATAGTGCTAGGACAACTGAATATATATGCTCCTACTCTCACATCAGGTGCAAAATTAACTTGATTAAGTAATAGTTTCTTAGATATGACACCAGAAGTACATGCAATTAAAGAAGAAGTAAACTGGACTTCAACAAAATTTAAAACTTTTGTGCATCAAAGGGATGCTACCAAGGAAATGAAAGACAACCCAGAGAGTCTGTGATAAGGTGACTGTACTGAGAATACACAAAAGTAAAACAACTAAAATATTATTTAAAAATGGGTAACTAATTTGAGTAGCTATTTCTCCAAAGAGAATATACAGATGGCCAACAAGTATGTGAAAAAATGCTCAATATCATCAAAGAAATGCAAATTAAAACCACAGTGAGATACTACTTCACACCTACTAGGAAGGCTAGAATCAAAGAGTCAGATAACAGCAAGGAGGATCTGGAGAAATTGGAACCCTCCCCATTCACTGGCAGTGGGAATGTAAAATGGTGCAGCTGCTGTAGAAAAGAATTTGACAGTTTTTCGAGAAGTTAAAGATGGAATTATCATGTAAGTCAGCAATTCCACCCCTAAGTATCTAATCAAGAAAACTGAAATATGATTCAGCTATAAAAAGGAGTGAAGTACTGTTACATATAACAACATAGATGAAACATGAAAATGTTATGAAAGAAGCCAGTTATGGAAGGCCATAATATTGTATGATTCCATTTACATAAAATGTCCAGGATGAGCAAATCCATAGAGACAGCAAGTAAATTCGTTGCCAGGGGATGAGAAGAGGAGGAAATTAGCACCACTTAACTGCTAAGAGATATAGGATTTTTTGGGGGGGGGTATAAAAAATGTTCTGGAATCAGATAGTGGTGATGGTTGTTCAACATAGTGAGGATACTACTACTGGTGTATATTTTAAAATGATGAATGTTATATGAATTGTATTTCATATACACGCTGAAATTTAAAAAACAGAACTATTAGAAAGTACATGAGATAACTGGAACATATGAACAAAGTGTCCATTTGACGGTTAAGGAATTATCAATTCTGAGAAATATGGTAATACTATTATAGTTTTAAAAATCTTTATCTTTTAAAAATAATTACTGAAGTATTTATGGATGATATTTCAGATTTGTTTCAAAATAATCTAGTATGGGGTACTAAAGTATATATGGGAGTATAAGTGAAATAAGATTAGCCTTGTGTTAATAATTATCAAAGCTTGGTAATGAATAGGTAGTGCATTACCTTTGTCTGTTTGAAATTCTTCATAATAAAAAGGTAAAAGAAAAACCACTATTTTGTAACTGCAGTGAAATAAAGGATCCAAGAAATAATCATCAATAAAAAAAACCATGAAGAAAGATTAATGGGGAATTTTATTATTATGGGTGGATCAGGCTGATTAACACCTGAAACCCAAAAACCAGATCATTTTATGCTCTTGAGAGGATGCAATAGGAACTACACACACTACCTATGAGGTATTCTTATAAAAAATTTGAATCAGAATCTAATCAAGCCTCTAAACTTTACCAGTTTTACAGGAAATTTGAAGAATAGAGAAATCATTTGAAGGACACCACAAGAAATGAATCAATTAACTCCAGAGTGTGGAATATATAAAACACATACCTCAGTTCTTTCAAAAAAATTCCAAAAAAAAAAAAGAAAATGGTGAAGTTTAATAAGATTTAAAAAGACTTAGGATATATAAGAAACGTTACAATGTATAAGCCTTGTTTGGATCCTGATTTTAATAAGCCAACTATAAAAGGACATTTTGAAACAATGATTGAAATGTAAATATGGACTGTGTAGAATTATATTATTAAGGAATTAGTATTAATTTTGTAACGATGCAAATGGCACTGTGGTTATGAAGAGTCATTATCTGTTAGAAATACATACTGAAGAATTTTCCGATGAAATGACATGTCTGGGACTTGTAAAACATGCCAGGAAAAAAATATACAGATAAACACACAAATGTATATATACATATATGTATATATGAAGCAAAATTTACAAAATGTTAATAATCATTGAACATGGAAGCTCATTGTATTATTCTATTTTATGTTTGAAAATTTCTGTAATAAAAGGGGAAGGAAGAAAGAAGGGAAGGGGGGGGAGAAGGGGAAGAGAACAAAGTAGATTTGAACCAAATCAATAAACAGGACTGTAGAATGAGAGCTATAAAATTTCCTAATGCCCTGAAATTCAAAGTTCTTTCTAATTTCAGGAGTTGGCAGAAGCCTTGTTTCAGAGAGATAAGACAAGTTTAGGCCCTAGGAATAATCAGTAGTGTCCTACCAATAATAAGGGAGTAATCTAGCCTGGGAATCCATGCCTCAATTAGCAAACCTCCCCCACCCTCCCCAACTTGCACTGTTATTCCCTCCAGCATTAAGCCTACCGAGTTGGCCGTGGTAGGAAGTATGCTCCTTCCCTTCCTACCTGTAGCATCTGCTTCTTCCATTCCTTCTCTGAGGTGGCCTGAACGAGACTATGTACATGATTAGGTAGCTAGTTGTCCCTATAAATTCATCTGAATTGCCATTGGCAGCAGTTTGTAATAAATAATTCATCTTCATTTCTGAAAATTCATCTAGAAACAGTGCTTGGAGGACAATAACTTGAACAGCTTAAATATTGTAGGTGATGAAAAACTGGAACATTCTTTACTCCTCACTACCCCCCAACAATTTGGGAGGTTCAGCAAACCATGGTATTTGTAGTATACATTCCAGATACTAAAGGAAGGTCACAGGGGTTGATTCATACTTCTGTGTTCTCCATTAGGAGACTCATAAGGAAAATGACTTTTGCAGACTTGCCCTAACATCATGGAGCATTAATCTCCATGAAGGTCTGTGGCTACTTTGGGAACACTGGAATTTAGGAGTTTTGAACATCTCTAAGAGAGGAAATAGCAGTAGATTAGAATGAATAGGTTCCACTTCAACCAACTGGTATATAAGGGCTATCTCCTTTCTGTGGATATCAGTCTTCTTCCTTCAGTATCATATTGAAAGACAAAATGACCATAAAGTTACTACTAGTTTCTCTGCAGTTTTACAGCAATTAGGTACTGTTGGGTATGTCTTGAATGTCTGATTTTCCTTTGCATGGGCTAAAGCAGCCTCAATGGATCATTGGCATGTGGGTAGACTGCTGGAGTCAGGCTACTTTAGGGCTAAGTTGTTACTGCAGTGGATGGAAGCATAACTGTAGCAAAGGAGAGAATCCTAGATAGCACCAGAATGAAAGCTGCCAGTTCTAAGATGTGAATATAGAGCTGCCAACAAACAATGAGGCAAGAGTACAAAGGCAGAAATTACTAGAAATACGTCAGAAAATAGAAGAGAAATGTTGAGGAAAGGCCCAGGCTAGATGCTAGGAACCTGCAGTTAGCAGGGAGTGGCCACGTGATACCAAGCTAAGTCAAGCTAAGTCCTCTTGGTTTAAAGGTACAGAATTGGGCCAAACATAACAATGTATTTTTCTAATACAGGATATTAGCTGTGGCACAGGCTACCTTGACACATCCTAACCTGAAGTAAAAATGGACTGAGAGCCTGCCATGATGACAATTGTACTTCATGAAGAGGATGAATTCCTAAATGGCCAGTCTCTGCTATTCAAATAATGTTACCATCTCCCAAAGAACAGTTTGGGGGCAGGAAAGAACAGTATTTCATTTCAAGCTGGACTACTCATCTACTAAAATACCATTCTGACCAAAGAAACAGATGCAGAATTACAGTCACAGCTGCATTCTGTATAGAACAAGTTGGATAATGGTACTCTAAATTGCTGATTACACTGCTAATGATTTTTTTAGTGGCATTGCATTGTTTTCCCACTTTTGTTTAAATTTCTTCAAAAAAGCATCTAGGAAGTTTTAAAAATGGTAAATTGTTAAATATCAGTAAGTCTTCCAAAGAGAAATTCCATATAACATCCATTTCTTGAAATGGCATTCTCATATGGGATTTTGTAGGAGCACCATTTATTGACTAGCTATTTGTTTTAATTTACTTTCTCATCAATTTACTTGCATTTAAGATTACTGAGGCCATAAGTATCTCAATATTAGTATTTGTATCTAGTTCCATAGTTGGTATGAAAAGATAATAAACCAACATATGTCATGATATGCTGGCACTGGGAATGTACTATGACTAGATTTACAAAAAGTAATAAGCAACAGTACATTTTTATTTTTATTGTGATAACCATGCTGAAATTTATTACATTGTTAGTATTTTATTGTTTAATTATGCCAACATAGCTGAGGGAGGTAATTACATTTTTATATAAAAATGCTGTTAATGTTTTTATTTCAATTTAGCAGATTATAGACTACAGATTAAAGCACTGCCATTGTTCTATATTGTTTCTTGTGCATTTAAATGGCAGAACATTTTTGCCACAAATAGTAAATTCATTTCTACTGAATTATTTTATTAAGGTTTCTAAATAATTTGCCTCTTAAATAAAAACCTCAATCTGGCCAGGAAATTCCATACATTAGATTTATAAAAAACATTTTATATAGAAAATGGTGTACCAATCACAATTACATCACAATGTTTTTTGAGAATTTTTCTATTTATTAAGGTAAATATCCTGTTAAAAAACTAAAAATACATTCTTGTTATGTAATTATAAATTCACAGGTAAATACTTACATTTGCTTCTAACAGATGATCCAATTTCAGTGATCTCTTAACACTGCAAACAAAATATTTAAAGAAATCAGATTTATATGCTTTAAGTAGCCAAATATTTAAGAGTAATAAATATAAACAAAGATTCTGAGTTACTTTTGCCAATGAAAGCAGAATACCATATGAAGAAAGCAAAGCAATTTTCATGATGATGAAACTGGATTTTTTAATAGCATATTTCAATATGGAATAATTAAATATTCAAATGGACTTTTATATATGGTCTCATATACATGCACTATTGTACAATTCAAGCACTGAAGTCATATTATTAAATAATCTTAGTAAAAATTCATATATTTGTGTTTTAAAATATCACTAATGAAAAATTAAGCATAAAGACAAAATAATTTACACAACCTTAATGGAGATGTTGAAAGTATATTATTTGCAGAAATAATGCACTAAGTATTAAAATAAAGGTATGAACAAGGTGAAAAAAGTTTTGCACATTATTCTAGCTTTAAACATGATTCAGTGCTACCAGACTATGACTTAACTGAGGAACAGATGCTCTATGTCTTTATAAGTCCCCAATCCATAAGAAACTATTTTTTGTCTCTCCCACTAAACTGATTCAGGAACATGCCAGGCTCTCTCTGTGCAAAATCTGTTCTGCTAAACTGGATGCCCAGCTGTTGGTGACAACGCTTAGAAAGGAAAGCTGAATATTTATAATACTTTATTTCGTACAGCTGTCTTCTAAAGAGCAGTCATCAACATTTTATTGAATGCAGACTAAATGCTCAAAGGAGAAAAAGGTCAATATAAATTAAAACTAGTTTTCCCAGTGACAAATGCAGCGTTAAAAGTACTTTCTTGATCCCTGAGAAAGAGAAACTATGTTATTTAAAACATTAGAGAATTTGACCATAAAAAACAAAAAGGATTGTATTGTAAAGGTAGTATTATAGAAAAAAAAAAAAATTATACATATTAGAAAATGACTATTCATAAGTAACTACTGACTTTTTTTCTACTGACTTTCAAACAAGTGACAAGAACAAGAAAAAATAGAAGAGATGGACAATTTACAAACATTATGGAGTAGTAAATATTAAATACAAAAATTTAATCTATCAAAAAAGGGCTCACTTAATTTTGCTATTATATCTATAGTAGCTCATCACATAACATTATTTCTTGAGATTAATTAAGTCACTTTGAAAAATTACTTGTATCTTTTAGAAGTCCACATGAAATCAATTTAATGTGAATTCTCAATGAAGCAACAAGAGAATAGAGGAATGAACAAATAAAAATGGCAGATGATCCAAAAAAGAATATATATTTACTTTTGGAATATATAGTACTCTATTCAGGTATATGAAATATTTTGGTATTTAATAAAATTTCAAAAGTAGAAATCAAAAACTAAAAGTACACAGCACAGAGTTTTTTCCTGTTTCTAAATGCTAAGATGTAATACTACCTATTAGAAGGAAACAAACCCTACCCTGATATTAATTGCTCAAAATATTACTTATTGATGATTGATTCTTAGAGAAAGTAACTCAATGTTTGGATTTAAAAGATTTCCGGTTTAGGTCCTAGGGTTGATCTAAGAAGCTCAAGGAAATATATAAAAGTAAACAAGAAAGTGAGCTGGGTTAGACTGTTATTTCCCACTTTTAACAGTTCAGTGAGAATCTAAAAACATGATTTATTGTGGGTGATATGGTTTTCAGATAATTCAGGCTTGTAAACTAAAACCTGGTAATATTTACAAGAATCATGAAGAGATTTAATAGATGATAGATAATAGATGAGACTAGGAGAAATCTAAGAAATCACTTAGTTCATCCAATATGTAAGAGTTGGTGTGATGTGCCCACTGTCACACAACAGCTTGAAGGGCAGAAACTGAGATCTCAGGTCCTGTGCACAACAAATCTTTGTTGAATTGAGGGGGAGGAGTTAAGAGGTAAAGAACAGCAAATCTACTAGAGGATTTTATGACAATCTGTTAGAACTAGGCCCAAAGTATGTTATTAAATTAAGTACATACTATATGCTTTTAATCTTATTTTATCCACTCTTTTAGCCACAAACAACTGTAATATAAGCATGATATTGTGTTACATGGAAGAGGATGATGTTAATAGGAACAGAGAGGAAGAGATGGTTGAAATATATTATAAAGGAAGAACAGACAAAACTTGATTAGATATATGGGATATTTTTCTAAAGTATTTACTCACTTGTTACCAGTATTAGTTGGCAATTAAAAGCAGTATCTCTGGTAGTTCTGTAAAGTTATAAGCAGTTTTAGGGGTTATTACTTTGGTTTAAAAAAATGGATACACCATGGGGAACCTGGGTGGCTCAGTCGTTAAGGGTCTGCCTTCGGCTCAGGTCATGATCTCAGGGTCCTGGGATCGAGCCCCGCATTGGGCTCCCTGCTCTGTGGGAAGCCTGCTTCTCTCTCTCCCACTCCCCCTGCTTGTGTTCCCTCTCTCGCTGTGTCTCTGTCAAATAAATAAAAAAAATCTTAAAAAAAAAATGGATACACCAAAAAGGACTCAAATAGACATTTCTCCAAATAAGATATACTACTGGCCAATAAACATATGAAAAAATGTTCAACATCCTTAATATTAGAAAAATGCAAATCTGAACCACAAAGAAATACTATTTCACAACCATTAGGATGTCTATTATAAAAAAAAAAAAGAGAAAATGCTGGCTAGGATACAGAGAACTGGAATGTTCGTGCACTGCTGGTGGGACTGTAAAATGGTACAGCTGCTGTGAAAAACAGTTTGGCAGTTCCTCAAAAAATTACATGTAGAATTGCCATATAATTCAGCAATTCCACTTCTGGGTATATATCCAAAAGAATGGAAAGCAGAGACACAAACAGGTATTTGTACACCCATGTTCATAGCAGCATTATTTCCAATAGCCAAAATGTGAAAACAGTGCAAGTGCCCATTGACAGGTAAATGAGTACACGAAATGTAGTATAGATATACAGTGGTATATTATTCAGCTTTAAAAAGGAAAGAAATTCTGACACATGCTACAACACAGATGAACCTTGAAGATATCACACTAAGTGAAATAAGCCAATATCAAAAGGGCAAATACTGTATGATCCACTCAAACGAGGTACTTAAAGTAGTCAAATTCATAAACACAGAAAATACTTGTTGCCACTAGAGGAAGGGTGAATAGGTATAAACTTTCAGTTTTGCAAGATGGAAAAAGTTTTGGAGATAGGTGATGGTGATAGTTGCACAAAGTGAATATACTTAATGTCATAGAACTGTACACTTAATGATTAAACTGTAAACTTTACGGGCGCCTGGGTGGCTCAGTTGGTTAAGCATCTGCCTTCGGCTCAGGTCATGATCCCAGAGTCCTGGAATCGAGTCCTATGTCGGGCTTCCTGCTCTGCAGGGAGTCTGCTTCTCCCTCTGCTCCTCCACCCACTCATTCTCTCAATCTCTCTCTCTCAAATAATAAAATCTTTTAAAAAATAATTTTTTAAATGGGCACTTATCTACTGTATCCTAATTTCCTCCCTCGTCCTGGTAATCTTATTACTTCTGCAGGTTACTTCCCACTTCCAACTTAACCCAAATTTACACCTATGTCCATAATTTAACTACTGTGCTTCATTTTTAGGTGTACTAAGTTTAGATTCATTGGGATGAAAATTCTGGTTGCTACCAGCATTTTGCTCTTGAGAATTTAGGAAAGATAAATACATTTGCCATGCAATTTCATATCAAGAGGAATAGGAAGTAACTATGTTTATGGGATTAGTCATATTACTAAGACTATCCTCCCCTATTTTATTTAGCTTATCACATGGTAGTATCCTGAATAGGATTCTCTGATTCTATCAGAACTGAACAAGTACAGGAGTTTCATTATACAACATTACTAACACTGATGACAATATAAAAGAAATTACTTTAGAAAAAAATGAACTTTCATTTCGTTTATAATTAAGAATGGGGAATGACACATCAAAGAGCACAAAATTACATGTTTTGCGCTTCTCTTTTTTGATAGAGTGCGAGTGGGCAGAGAGAGGAGAGAATCTCAAGTAGGCTCCATGCTCAGTGCGGAGCCCAATGTGGGGCTCAATCTCAGACCCCAAGATCATGACTTGAGCAGAAATCAATAGTTGGACACCGAACTGACTGAGCCACCCAAGCGCCCCTTTGAGCTTCTCTTCAAAATACTGGGTTAAATATAATTTTGAATAGCAGAGCTGAGGGTAAGAGTAGGTGTGTGAGGAGACAGATAAACTTGGTAAAGCAGATAAGAGTCAGAGAGCCTTGATGCTATGCCAAATTCCTCCACTAAGTTTGGGCAAATCACATAATTTCACTAAGCTTCATAAAGTTGATAATAATACTGGCCCATAAACTAGTTAGGGAATTTCTGAATGGAAGATTAAAATATCACTTACAATGTCAGTGCTTCCATTTACTTCCTACTATAATGGTGATAACAATATTTCAAGAGTATTTAAAGAATTGAGTATACTTGTGAGATGCTTAGAAATCCTTTGATGAAAGGCAATGACCAAATTCACATCCCATGTGACTCCTTTGGTGTAAATTGAGATATCTGAAACGATTTATTTTCCATTCTATGTATGAGAATGAGAAAAGAATCTTCTATATCCTTTTTATCTTCTCCCTTTCATTCAAGTCTTTTGTGTTCTCTCAAGTGCTCTTTTGTGTTCAACATTCACGGTGGTCATATAATAATTCATTATCACATATGGGTGGTAGAGAGAAATATTACTCTGTTACATGTAGAAATACGGTCATCATGTGAAAGCACCTAAATAAATAAAATCCTCTGTTATTCTTCATGATAAAACTGGCCAAAACCTTAAGCAGTTATTGGGCAACAGACGTTTTTTGTGTCAAAAGCTTCCTTATTAAAAGGTTAATAGAGAATTAGTTAAACAATTCTTAACAGAAGTAAAGGGATATATTTGGGAATACTAACTCCAGAAGATAAATAAATAGAGGTGAGAT